AAACCCAAAACCGTTGCTTAGAATAACGAAAACCTGAGGCCATTGCTCGTTGCAAATAAGTTATACTCTTCAACCTCTGTGCTCTCTTTCGCTTTCTTATCGTTGTTTCCAACGAAGTCGCGCAAAACCCCGTCTTTCGAATGAGCAGGTTTCGATTTACTCCCACTAGAAAGACCGACCGGTCCGCTGAAATGGAATAAGGAGAAGCTGTCTTCACTTACGGTCTGTGTTTCCGGTGGAGCCGAACCGTTTAGTTCCAATGGCTGCTCAAGAGTCTGAGCTTGGTCCTCGGTTTTGGAAAACGGATGGAACACTGGAACTGGCCCTGGATTGTAGAATGGAGTTGCCGAATGATTCATCGGGCTACCGTACTGAAAGCACAGTGGGGAATCTCCGTTCATACTATATCCGAGCGGACTTGTGTATAGATAAGGGTTTGGGTGAGGGAATGGAATCAATCCGTTTGCTGGTGATGCGGGCCAAGAGACCTGTGGTGCTTGATGGAAGTAGCTCATTGGCGAAGCAGCCTGGAAAATCGGAAACTGTAGATTCTGGTTTAACATTTGGGGAAACATGCCTCCTTGCGGTTGCATATTAACAACGCCATGTGCCATGTTATTGTTACTGTTATTATCCGTGTTGTTCCCCGTTACTGCGATAGGAGTTTCCGAGATTTTACTCTTCCCAGTAGTATCTGTTGTGAGGATATCGTTCTGAGTACCAACAACTATATCCTCTCTTCCTTCAGATTGCTGACTAGCGTCTTCGGAATCAGATGTTGAGGAGGATTCAGTGTTTCCGTTGTTTGAAGAAACCGTATTGCTATCTCCTTCGCTCAGGCATGACGAGCAATTGTCTGAACTCGATGTACTGCTCATCATAGGATCTTTCAAATGCCACCCATTCTTTGTTTCCCCGGGTTCCATGCTGTTATCTTTAAGCTTGGGATTATCCAACTTCTCCGTAGCCTTGCATTGAGACAAGACGTTAGTTGACTCCTCAGCAATACTACCGTCTTCTATCTCTTCAACCTTAAACGTTGAACATCTAATTGTTACTTCAGAGTCAGAGTTGGTTCGTGGGTACTTCTTTGGCTCCATGGGCTCCCATACTTTTTTCGAATTTACAGAGTCTCTTGCAGATGGATTTGGACCAACGCCCACCTTGCTTTTAAGTCTTAACTCTCGAGTATAGTCTGGTTGATTATACCTGTTGCCTCGGAACGCTGGCTTGGAGGCATCAGGAGCAGAGTCCGAATTGGGTAAGCTTTTGGGTTCTCGCATGCTTCTGGTTGCAGAGATGCTAGGTTCTACTTTTACCCGGTATTCACTACTCGGTTTGCAACTGCAAGAATTAAAGTCAAACCTCTCACTGATCCTGTTGTCGGAACATTGAAACTTCTCATGGGACTTGATGCCATTCAGGCCACCAGTCTTTGAAGCTTTCACTCTTAACTGTCTATTTGACCCATTTAAGCTCCTTGAAGGCACTTCTAATCTATCATTACGGTATCTTGCCTCTGACCTACTGACAAAAGAAGCATTCTCCGAATATCTGTGTTTATCTGACCACCTCAAAGCATTATCAGACTGCAGTTCTTTCCAGTATCTTGCATTCTGGTGAACAGGTTTTTGATGATCATTTGTAAAGTATCCGGTCTCATCTTCAAGATCTATACTCTCTCTAGCAGGGCTGTCACAGTAGTGGTTTTCCAATCCTGGAGAATGGAAACTATCCAAACACTGTCCTTCTTGAACATCAGGAGAACCAGGTGGAGACAAATCTGCATCCCCAATTTCAATTTCTGACTCCTCACAGATTATGGTATTGTTCATCTCGTCATCAAGGCTTGGAAGTTCTTCTTCTTCCCTTGGTGAATTCAGCAGCGTTTCTTTATCGCTAGATTCAGGAATTTTCTTCTCCTTACCTCTTTCTTTTTCCTTCATTCTCTCCTTTCTGCGAAGTTTTTTCTCCCTTTCTTTTGATTTTTTCTTCTCCTTTCGCTCCTCTTCTTCACGCTTTTCCTTCTCTTCTTCCTCGAGAAGTTTTACCTGCAGTAGTTAAGACAATTGTATTGTTGGACACAACAAAAGCCACAAGTTCTTCGTCAAATTGATTTGAGTACTTTAGGACAGAATACCTACCTGTTTCTCCAAGGTAATAATTTCCTTGCAGGCAACATGTACACGTTGTTCTAATAGTTTCAAGGTAAGACATACAAAGATACTGTGTGCATTTTGACGAGCGGTTCCTTCCCTGAATGCTTTTTCAACCTAAGATACAATCAATAACAGATAAAAAAAATGAGTACCTAATACAGCACAAAATAACAACAAATAAAATGCGACTCTAAGGGAACCAATATCTAACAAACCTGTTCCTTAAAAATAACTGTTGCAGCATCTAGGAGAAACTCCCGAGCAAGTTCTGGACTTTTTGCATGCTTCTGCGGTCGGGAGCATTCCCCATCAAGCTCGTTCCCATCTTTGTCCATCATGTCTTCCTCCTTTTATAACATTGGAAGCACAGTGGTTTCGTTAAAAAGATGAAAGAATAAGATTTGTGGAATCTTAAACATATGAGAACTTTGATGCTTATGAATCTGGAATCTACCTCTTCTTCCTCAGCCTCTTCAGCATGCTCAAAAAACCTTCGGATGCTTTCCCCTCTCTTGATTGAAACAAAGCCATCCCCAACAACTAGCCTGCCATGCACGCAGTTTTGACCTTTTAATGCATGAGCTTTGACGGATACCTCAGACCAGCGGCCATCTAATTTATAAGCTCTAAGGGTAATGTAGCATGAATTTAGACCACGAAGGTCTAGGCCATTGACTTGAACTCTCCCATTCATGCCAACATTTTCAAATTTGAGGATATCACATTTTCCTTCTCCTGTTCCAATCGCCCACTCAAAATGATGGTACATTCCAGCATTATCAGCAAAAGTTTCCCGCCAATCTGCTTGCACCGAATCAATGGATACCTGAAATATTGCGATTATATCTGTGATCTGATCTTGCATCCTCTCAAGAAATATAGTAATATACTTTTCATAAACTAGAACTCAGACTTAAGAAACCCACAAAGATATAAAAGACATAGATAAAGCACCTCATATTGGAAAGCTGTATCGGCAACACAAAACCAGGTGGTACATCGAGGTTCTCTCCGCATTCGTTTCAGTTCCTTCAGCTCTTTAAACTCACGAATAACATTCCGCCTGCAGTCTCTACAAAACCTCTTGCTATCGAATCTGTAATTGAAAGGATCATTTGTTATTGAGGTCAAAGGACTCCAAATGACCAGACAAAGAAGATTGTTGTATTGCATGACTTGATAGGAACATCCTCAAAGTCCAGACTACGAAATACCCATTCATCTTTTAATTCAGAATAGGATAGCTCGAGTGGTAACATTTCTAGTTACCCGTGACCCAGATCATATCCAAAAACTTCTCGACTCGCTTTGTGATTGAACATCCAGAAATATCAAATCAATTAGTGACATACCTGTACCTGAGTCTCTCCATAAAATCCTCTTCTTTCATCCTCAAAAGAGATTGCCGAGTTTCCTCGCTGAGTGCGGACCAGAAATCCACCAATGTATCACAAGAAAGCCTTGCAGTATGTAGAGCACACGTTTCTCTTGTTCCATGCCCTCTACCATAACTAGCCATTCCTTGACTTATCCATCCCCGGCCTCCACCACCACATGCATCGGGATAAAGCAACTCACGTTCCCTTTCTCGAGCAGGGGCGCTGTCAAACACCTGCTAGAACCAATAGATTAACTAGTCGAACTGGAGGGATTACAAAATAGATAAACCTTGCAAGAACTTACATTTTGAAGTCCTTTGAGAGACTTTGCATACAAATAGCAATCAAGAAGCGTGAGTGATCCATCACGAGTCGTGGTGAGACCACCCCATGGATGAACAGACGGATCTTGCATCTCATCCGCACATCCGTTACTGACAACTGAGTTACCGCCATTTTGATATTTCAAGGCTCCTGATTTATTGCAAGGAGAATTCCCTATCGATCCCTCCGGATGCAAAGACTTCCCATGCATAACAATCTGCAAGAAACCTTCAAGCAACAGACCATTGCATCTTGAACAATACATGTTCTTTCGAGCTTGCTCAAACAGAGTCTGTTTGTCAATCTTGAGTAGCTCCTGCCTAGCTTTCGGCGACAGCTCACTCCAGAACTGCACACAAATTCACAAAAAAATTGCTTCTGAGTTAAACAACATATCATCAGGTCATTAAGCTACACCATAATGTGTAAACCGAGAAGAAAAAAAAAGAGAGAATGTGAACACAAACGGGACAAGAACAATCTGCAGTGTTTACAGTGATACAGAATACTCCAAAACATAGAAATGAACATATATAATTAAGATCTGAACTAAAAAACAGATATAAAACATCTCTACTAGCTAATAATAAACCAGAGGCAAAGATCGAAGCTGAGCTAATTCAACGTTGGTGAAATGCGGAGAATCCCAATCTCGTGATTAACAATGGATGATGATGATGCTGATAGAAGTGTACCTTCTGCAGCTGATTGTAGCTGACTCCATCGATTTCCTTAGACCAGAAACCAAAAGAGTATTGGTCATTCCTCTGCGCTAAACCTGGCATCATTTACAGTCTCTTCTTCTGTTGATAAACAGATGTCTTCTTCATTTATCCGTCCCTACCACACAGCCCCTCCCCAGACTGAACCCCAATCAGGAAACCGATCGTATCCGATTCAATTCCGTCGAATCGGACTACAAAAACACCAAATCCAATCGGAAACACACAAGAAAACAATCGATCGCGATGAATCGGGAAAAAAAAAAGGAGATTCCGGAAAAAAGCCGATTACGAAAATTCCCGGGAAAATCTGGTGTTGAGATCCTTACACGGAAAGAAAACGAATCGAATTGGATTGAAATGGAGAAAAGCCGCAAATCAGGGTTCCTCGTGGTCGATGACGATGAGATTCGCGGCTGCGTCAATATTCT